AAGGTATGTGCCCTTGACCAGGAATTGAACCCATGACCTTTTGGTGCACCAGCCAATGTTCTAACCACAGAGCCACGCTGGCCAGGGCCCTCACCTTGAACTGGGAGGCAGTGTGACCAGTAGTTACAAGCACAAGCTCCACACCAAGACAGACCAGGGTTCAAGTTCTGGCTTTGCCCCTTACTACACCTGTGTGACTCTGGACAAGTTCCTTAGCTCTTCTTAGCCTCTTTTCTCATGTGCAATGTGACAATACTAAGACATTCCTGGTAGGGTTGCTGAGAGAATTAAAAAATGCTTAGAACCTCGGCTGAGTGGCTCAGTTGGTTGGAGTGTTGGCCTGTACACTGAAAGGTTGCAGGTTCAATTCCTGGTCAGGGTACATACCTAGGTTGCAGGTTCGATCCCTGGTCAGGGTGAGTATAGGAGGCAAGCAATTGATGTTTCTCTCTCTCTTTCTCTCTGTCCCTCTTCCTCTTTCCAAACATATCCTTGGGTGAAGATTTTTTTTAAAGTGCTTAGAACATTGTTAGCATTTAATAAGTGTTAAGCATTATTATTATTATTATTATCGTAATAGTAATAATAATAAAGCAGAACTGTGGGGCTCATCCTTCACTCATTCCTCTCTCACCGCACATCTGTCATTAGTCGCCAGGTCCTAGGACTTCACTTGTGCGTCCTGCGTGGGTGCTCTGTGGTGCACGAGAGGCGTGGTGCTCACTGCAGGAGAGGTTCTCAGCTGCAGCACATCGGACACACAGACTGTGTTATCTTATAATGGAATTTTACTGTCTGAATAGCTGCAAATGCCTGCGGCCATAATTCTGCAATAATTACCATATCTTTGAGAACTTTCTGCACCATCAGTGAGAAAACAGAATTCAAAATTACCCAACAAAATCATCCTGAAAACCTAGTTCCTTCTGAGCCAATTTTCTAAGCCTGCCTGCTGATAAAAGGTGGCACACGTATTCTGCCATAACAATAATGTGCGTGGCCTCCTCAAATTACTTGCTGTTCTGCAAGAAATAAAAGTCTCCCAGTTCCACATCTCTCAACCCTTTCATCACATCCCAGAATCCACTCTATTATGAACAAAGTGAAACCTAGAAAAACAGTCCCCAGGACACTGCGCATCTCACTATTCCCTTCCCCTTTCAGACCAGGGCACACGAGAGGAGGGTCCAGGAGCAAACCACTGTCACACGATCTCACTCAGTGGGGAGATGAGTCACCAAGGTCTCCAAAAACCCTTTTGAAAGTCTATTTTAATGAGTCTGTGAATGGATTTTGGGAACCCTTTAACCCTCACATTTCTATGACACTTCATTTCAATATGATCCACTTCCTTGTCAGTCAGTCCTTTTCTGTGATTCGGGCTATAAATGCTGGTCCCCACCACCTGCTGTGTCTGCATGATTGCTCCCTTTCTGACCCACTGGTTTTACAGCCTACCCTCAGACTCACCAGTTCTCTCCTGAGCCTAGCTCTTGTACGCGCTGTTCTCTCTGCCTAGAAAACCCCTCTCTACCCTAACTCCCTTTGCTTGACCAGCTCCTGCTCATTCTCCCAAATTCAGTTTGGACTTCATTTCCTTCAGGAAGCATTCCCTGACCCCCAAATCAGAGTTGGTTGTCACTTTTGGTTGGTTGGTTGTCAACCATCCTGTGCTTCCCAAATTCATAGGACTTACACCTGGGACACTAATTACCCGTTTTCCTCTCTGTATCTCCACTACACTGTAACTCTGAATCAGGACCGCACCCTTTTCATCATTGAGTCCCCAAAGTCTAGCAAATTGCCTGCTAATAATGGGTGCTGCTTAAATATTTAAAGAATGAACACGTGAGTAATTTGACAGTAAGTAAACTGTAAAATATTTTTATAACTGCCTTATAAGATCCTCAAGTTCCAAGTAAAGTACTTAAGAGAGTAACATCTAATGAAGTATTTTATCTGAGATAATTACAGTCAATCAGAATATTCCCACTTTTAAGTTAAGCCAAGTTCATTCTATTCATTTAGTGGAGTTGGCTAAACAGAAACTCAAATAAGTGCTTGCTAATTAACAAATCGTTGAATTAAAATACATGAGCCACGTGAAGCGCAGCTAGACTCCGCAGCTGCCATGTGCATGTGGCAAGCGCGCACTGAGTGGGGCAGTTTCTCGAAGGGATAGTTCTTGTTGTCTCAGTTATTTGTGGGGTCTGAGTAAATTTCAAGCCACTTGAAGCAGCACATTTCGGTGATGGGGGTGGGGAGTGCTTTATCTCTGGAGGGTTTTTCTTCTCAACTCTTAGCAAGGTACAGCTTAGAATGCTCTAGCCAGTACAAAAAGGAGACAGCATATCCTTCTATCCCCTAAGAATCCACTGGTGGATCTCCCAGGTGTATGAAGATACCTTAAGTCTCTTTCTTATGCTCTATTTTATTCCACAAGGAAGTTTATTTTCTTAACATGTCATTAGTGGCATTTGTTTCAATAATCCTGGAATTCATATTTCAGCTCAAACGTTACTTCTTTAAAAATTCCTTTGCCAGGTCACATCCTAAATAACCTTTCCTAGTACTAGCCTTTACATTTTTGAAGAGCGATTTCATTAATCTATCAAATTCCTCTAGAACTCTCACCACTGTATTCCCAGGGCCTGGTGCAGAGTCTTATGAATAATAGGAACTGGGAAAGACCCAGAGCTGATAGGCAAATGATTGCAGATGCCACTTTTCCCTAAGAGCATTTGTTGAGTTCAACACATTCCAAGGGTCATTTTGATAACCTTGACAGGAGATAGGAACAGAAATTGTGCCACACAAGGTGGGAAGTCTAACAAGATGCTCCTTACAACAAAGTTGAACTCAATGACTACTCAATGAGAATGAATTGGAAATGAACCACCCCTTATGAGGAACTGAAGTCTGGGATTGACCTGGGCATTCTAGAAAACTCTAGCAATGGTCTTCAAGCACCTGTACCGCCTGGCACTACTCCCTGCTCTTTCCTCCCTGGCCTCCAGTCTCCTCCCACTCTCCCCTTTGCTCATCACAGCAGCCACATTGGCCTCCTTGACATTCCTCAAACATACCAAAACTCCTCCCACTTTCGAGTCTTTGGACTAACAGTTCCTTCTCGTTCTTGACTCAGTTTGCATGAAAATCAGTTCTGCCAATTAAAAAATGGGCAGAGTTGCTGAATAGACACCTCTTCAAACAGAACATACAAATGGCCAAGAGACATATGAAGAAATGTTCAACATCACAAATCATCAGAGAGATGCAAATTAAAACAACAATGAAGTATCACCTCACACCTGTCAGAATGGCCGCCAACAACAAATCATCAAACAACAAGTGTTGGCGAGGGTGTGGAGAAAGGGGGACTCTAGTACACTGCTGGTGGGAATGTAGACTGGTGCAGCCACTATGGAAAACAATATGGTGTTGCTTCAAAATGTTAAAAATTGAACTGGCATTTGACCCAGTTATCCCACTTCCAGGAATATACCCTAAGAAGCCTGAAACACCAATCAGGAAGAATATATGTACCCCCATGTTCATAGGAGCACTATTTACAATAGCTAAGATCTGGAAACAGCCCAAGTGTCCATCAGTAGACGAATGGATAAAAAAGCTGTGGTACATGTACACAATGAAACACTTTGCAGCTGTAAGAAAGAAAGATCTCTTATCCTTTGAGACGACATGGAGGGACCTGGAAAGCATTATCCTAAGTGAAAGAAGCCAAGCAGAAAAAGACAAATACCACATGATCTCACTTATTTGTGGAATATAATGAACATAACAGTCTGAGGAATAGGGTAGACCCAGAAACATGGAAGTAGGGTACAGACTGACAACCCTCAGAAGAGGGGCTGGTGCGGGGAGGGAAGAGATAAACCACAGAACTTATATGCATGTATACATAACCAATGGACATGGACAACAAAGTTGGGGATGGGGTGGGGGGGATGGGGAGGAGGGTGTCAATGGGCTAAAAAAGGAGAAACATCTGTAACAAAAATGAAATTAAAAAAAGAAAAAAGAAAATCAGTTCTGCTCTGGCACCCAGGCATTAGAATATTTTTTACCCGTCCCAAAATTCTTCAAAATTATCAGGAATCATCTTAGCCTTTCATAGATAGTTGCTGGAACTGATGAATACATGCAGCCGCTTACACTGTTTTATGAACGAAACACAAAACAAAATAAAAGCTTCTCCAGTGATTCTCATGTGTAACAGGGTTGAGAAGTACTGGCCTGTGATTCTCCAATGTAGATCATTCTGCCCATAAATATAATAATTGAGACATTTCTATTTGAAAGGATGTTTTAATGAATTAAAAACTACTATAAGATGAAAAATATCAAATTTATTTTTAAAAATACAAGAAAAAAGAATATGCATTTGAATTCACTTTGCAGTATACATTAACAATAAAAACACCTGTTTCATGTTCTATTTGTCTCAACTTAACTCCCAACCAATGTGGTGTCCGCAAGAAGGGGATGATTCTGGCCCTTGGTTTGCAGAACCAGAAACCTGGCATGAGAACATGTGAAACGTGTACCCCAGACTCAAACTTCCTAACTCAGGGCAAAGGCTTATTAACAATGACACTCCACACAGATGAAAAATAAAGAGCTTCTCGCAGCCAATTTATTCCAAAGCTCTAGAATAGTCATTTCCCATTTGAGGTCTTACCACAACTTTCACTAATGCTTAATGTATTTTAATGTAAAGTACTGAGCATGGAAGAATAAATTCTCTTCAGTTTCAAATGAACTAATGTCTAAATCTGAAAATATTATCAGAGGTGATACCTTTTCTGTTTTAAAAAAAAGTAGACCACCCAAATGAATTTATTGGTGTGAAAGATACTTGCTAATAAACCTGACAAAGAAAAACCAAACCATCACTCTATTTTTGCCATAGTAATGAGAATCTATAACAGGTAACTCAATTTGGGGCAAGTGGAAAACATGAGCTCTATCAGAAGTGGCTATGGGGATGATCCGATTTGATCTGAGCTCCCCTCAGAAGACTGGGAGAACTGCAAAGCCTCACTCATTTGCAGGCTATTCCCACTCATGCTTAACAGATGGCTATTGATGACACCAAGTTCTTGTATCACCATACTCAGATCTTCGTGTAATTTAACTATGGCATTTTTTACCTCCCCTAGAAGAACCTGGATTGAATTGTTTGCTTCAGGCTCCCCTGGCAGGCCTTTGGTTGTCTGAAAACTAGAACAGGACATAGAGGTGAAGTGGTCTACATTTTGGGTGGAAAATTCTACCCAATTACCGCTGGAAATATGACTTATCTTCTTTTTAGCAGAATCTGAGTTATCTGGAAGAATTTCCAGTATGTTGAAGTTGTCATTTTCTTCATCAGAAGACACTGGGCCCCTAGGAACAAAGTGGTGATGAAACCTCGCGGTCTTATCTTTATCTTTAAAGGAAACAGAAGAAGACTGTTGATGGGACAAAGTCCAGAAGGAAGGTCCAGCCAAAACCGGGGGTAAGAGAGGAGCAGACTTTTCTGAAGAGGCCAAGTTAGGAGACGACATGGATAAAGTAGAAAAGGAGGATGTCCCCTCAGAGGCGGTTGAAACTAAAATGTATAAATGAGAGAGAAAGATTATGCAACATACAAATGAGAATACTAGCTAAAACAATTTTACAATGTAAAATCCTATCTGACAGGTCTCGACATAAATACACTACTTAGAATTTTATATGCTAAATAATCACGATAAACCTAAATAAACCCAAAGCAGGAAATGGAGAAAATCTAAAGATTTTCTAAATGAAACTAAAATAAAATTATCAATATTAATCTTCTCTCTCAGATCCTAACATATTTTTACACTCCATTTATTAGACAGAACAGAAAAGTAAAGTATTATACCCTGTTTGGTGGCATTTTAAGTTGGCATTTAAAACAGAAAGTCTGAGAAACCTGTAACTTAGATTCCGTCTTCATTTCCCTTTTGTTTTATTTTATTTCTACAGAGAATACTATGGCAAAATGAACAACCAACTACAACTACGAAAAGTTGTGAGATGAATTTTTTTCTCTCAATAGTCAAATACAGTCAAGACTGAAGTCCAGTCCATCTGAGATCCAGAACACTAGCACATGTATACAGTTAATTTTTCCACCAAGAAACTATATGTAAAATAAAAAGCATTCTAAACCTATATTCCATAAAATTAAAGATTTAATAACATTTTAACTTTCTTTCAGGCAAAATCATATTAAATCTCTTCTTTCACACTTCATTCTAAATCCCACACTGTGCTCTGAGGAATACTGTTTCTGATGGTATAAAAAGATGTTTTGTGAAAACATGGCTTCCAAGTCAAATTAGACTGGGTGATTCCATCCTGTGCCTCCCATTAGGAGATTAACAATGTCCATTAGCACAGTAATTTATTCAAGTATTGTCCCAAACTTTCTTGGACACAGAACTTTTCTTGTCTCCTTGAAATATCTGTGTACATTCATTTATGTATTAGGTGGTACAAATGGGCTAAATCCAGTTCTAAAGTCTTTGAAACTAACTCTGGACTTGCTTTACCTAAATTTTAAAAAACACACACGCATAAAAAACGTATTCCTTATAATCCTAGAACAGGGAAATTAATGCTCACCACTTACACATTACTTATCTTTTCATATTATTTTATTTTTTTACATATCCATGTCCCTCTAAACTGGACCTCTTATAAAAAAATGATTGCTGGGGTAGGCAGCTTCTATTTTCTGCTTTAAACTTCTCCAGTTCGCAGGAAAAATTGCGATCACAAAACTTTTTTGGGTTGAAACAAATATTCTCAGCTGATGCAGCAGCAGGATATGAAAGGAAAGTAGGAACTTGAGCAGCACATGGTCAGGATGAGACAATCACACTTGAGAATCTTGGCCAGGCTTATTCAGATAATCTATCCTTGGGTTAAAAAGGGTATGACAATAATGGGCATGCTAATGACGAAAGCCTCAACATATTCGCGTCCTGAGTCACACTGCTACACTCTCACAGAGATGTCACCTGACATGTCCCTTCACTATCCTCCTGTGTGACTCTCCTGTTTTCTATACCTGTGTCTTTCTTTTTTTTGGTTTACTCTCATTTTGGAGTAACACATTCTTCAGCAGTTCACTGGAAAGGGATGCAGGAGAAGTAAAAGTTTTGAGAACTTGCATGTTTGAAACACTGTCTTGGGGCTGGTCTGTGGTGCACATTTTCAGAGCAGCCGAACCACAGCCTGTGCACCCCATACCGTGTCCTGTGAGAGCCTGAGCCAGCTATGTAGCTTTTCCCCTTTGCCATAACCATGTCCACCAATGAGAATGCTAATCCGCCAGCTGCCTGCCTTAATAGATTCAAGAACATGGGGTACGACAGATCAGAAATGAGATGTCACCCAGTAGAAGTTAATATGAAGCTGAGGAAAGCAAAGGATAACCAGATGCTGAGGAGGAGAAATGTCTGCTCGTTTCCTGATGGTGCTACTTCTCCACTGCAGGAGAACCACAACAACAGGGCACTGTAAATTGATTGGTTGAGGACACTGTCAAGGGCATAAAAGCAACAATTTGGAAAGCCAGCTCCAATCTACTCAAACTAATAGGAAACTGCTTTCTTGGGAAAATCAGCCATGCAGAGACACCATAATCTGGGCTGGTTTGATCCCAAAATTTGTATCCTTCTTAGACAGAACTGATTATACTCCCATTCAGTTTGAATTCGCTTGGGCCCTCACTAACCTTGCTTCCGGGACATCGGAACAGACCGAGGCTGTAGTAGATGGAGCTGCTATCCCAGCATTCATTTCTCCATTGGCATTTCCCCATGCTCACATCAGTGAACAAGCTGTATGGAAACACTGCGGGTGCTGGGTCAGTTTTCCGAGACTTGGTTATCATGTATGGTGCAACTAGCCCACCACTGGCTCTTCTTGCAGTTCCTGATGTCATCTGTAGCACATGGTCACTTACGCAATCTTATCTGGACACTTTCAAACCTTTGTTGAATCAAGAATCCAGCACCCCCGTTAGATGCCGTTGAGCAGATTCTTCCTGCTTTAGTTCATCCCCTGCATCACGATGACCCAGAAGTATTAGCAGATACCTGCTGGGCCATTTCCTACCGCTGGAGCACTCACTGTCTTTCACAGCCTGCTAATGAATTCCAAAACTAATCTTCAGAAGAAAGCCACATGGGCAATGTCAAACCTCACAGCTGGCTGCTGGACCAGACACAGCAAGTTGTGACTCATGGATCAGTCCCATTCCTCATTGGTGTTCTAAGGCAGTCTTGAAGACACACAAGGTGGAAGTGCTGGAACAGCTGAACAGATTGTAAAGCTCGTTTATTGTAGCACAATAGAACCACTGATGGACCTCTTAACCGCAAAAGATACCAGAATTATTCTGGTCAGTCTGGATGCCATTTCAAATATCTTTCAGACTGCTGAGAAACTAGGTGAAACTGAGAAACTTCATATAATGGTTGAAGAATGTGGAGGGTTGGACAAAATGGAAGTTCTACAAAACCATGAAAATGAGCCTGTGTACAGAGCTTCATTAAACTTGGTTGAGAAGTAGTACTCTGTAGAGGAAGATCAAAATGTCGTGCCAGAAGGTACCTCTGATGGCTGTACGTTCCAAGCCCGGGGTGGCTCTCCTGGGACCTTCAACTTTTAAATTGTGCAGCTGAGTTGTTTGTTGTGTTATGTTTGGTATACGTTTGTCTTACTGTTTCTCTGCTAAGAACTCTTTCTTTTTTCTTTATTGATTTTGAGAGAGAAAGGAAGGGAGAGGGAGAGAGAGAGATACAAACATGGATGAGAGAGAACATCGATTGGCCACCTCCTGCATGCCCCCCACTGGGGATCAGGCCCACAACCTGGGCATGTGCCCTGAAGGGAATCGAACTGGCGACCTCTTGGTGCATGGGTCCACGCTCAGCCACTAAGCCACACCGGTCAGGCACTAAGAATTCTTTTTAAATGAGATTTGTTACTGCAGCACTTTTCACAATCGAAACTATACTTGAACAAGTTCCTAACTGTTGGCATCTCCCCACGCTCACATCAGTGTACAAGCCATATGGAAACATTGCGGGTGCTGGGTCAGTTTTTCAACACTTCTCCTCTCAATGGGTTTCTTGTTTTCCTTCCTTCCTTCCTTCCTTCCTTCCTTCCTTCCTTCCTTCCTTCCTTCCTTCCTTCCTTCCTTCCTCCCTCCCTTCCTCCCTCCCTCCCTTCCTCCCTTCCTCCCTTCCTCCCTTCCTCCCTCCCTCCCCCAAGGACATTTTTCCATTGTTTTTGTTCAGATAGAGTGGGAGGGAGAGAGGAAGAGAGAGAGCGAGAAACATCAACGTTAAAGGAACACATCGAGTGGCTGCCACCCACATGACCCAACCAGGGCCGGGGACAAACTGCAACCGAGGTATGTGCCCTTAGAGGGAACCGAACCCGGGTCTCTCTGGACCACAGGTCGACGCACTAACCGCTGAGCCAAACCAGCCAGGGCAGGTTTCTTATTTCTATGTTTCATATCTTGTAGTATCCTGTAAATAAAGATTAAATTCTACCCTTAAGAAAAGTAAATGTCTGTATCATACTTTTAAACTTAACGATGACTGTTTGGGTAGATAAAGAATTTTAGGTTGGAAACCCTTTTCTTTCAGAATTTTGAAGACAGAATTCCACTGTCTTCTTGATACCAGTATTGCTGCTCAGCAGACAGAGTGATTATAATTCACATTCATTGTGTATAACATGTTTTATCTCTAAAGTATTATAGAATTTCCTCTTGTCCACAGCTTTCTGAAGCTTCTCCATGTGCCCCTGAGGGATACTACCTTCATTCATGGAGGTCAACTGAAAGTCATCTGACTTTTACTCAGGCAACTCATTTCCTTCAGCTTTAGAAAGTTTCCTTTAACTAATTGTTTTCTCCTCTGTGTTTACTCTGTTCTTTCTTTCTGAACCTCCTCTTGTTCAGGTGTTAGATCTAGACTAGTCCTCTAATCTTCCTATTTTTCTCTCCCATTTCCCTACCTTCGTCTCTGTGCTCTACTTCCTCAGAGATTTTGTCAACTTCAGTTTGCAATCCTATCACTGAGTTGTTAATTTCTGCTATTACATTTTTAATTTCTAAGATCTTTATTTATTTTTATTTTTGTTCTCGGAAATTCCTTCTTTCTTTCTTTTTTATTAATTTTTTATTTTTATTTTTTGTTATAGATGTTTCTCCTTTTTTACCCCATTGGCTCCCCCTCCCCATCCCCCCTGCCCCATCCCCGGCTTTGTTGTCCATGTCCATTGGTCATGCGTACATGCATATAAGTTCTGTGGTTTATCTCTTCCGACTCCCCCACCCCCTCTTCTGAGGGATGTCAGTCTGTGCCCTACTTCCATGTTTCTGGGTCTACCCTATTCCTCAGACTGTTATGTTCATTATATTCCACAAATAAGTGAGATCATGTGGTATTTGTCTTTTTCTGCTTGGCTTATTTCACTTAGGATAATGCTTTCCAGGTCCCTTCATGTCGTCTCAAAGGATAAGAGATCTTTCTCTCTTACAGCTGCAAAGTACTC